TTTTTTTTTTTTTTTTAATATACAGTTTGATTCTTTTAAATAATCGAGTCTGTCACCTCGGCTCAGTGCACTTCACCAAAAGTCTTCAGGCATTTCAAGGAGTCTGGGAATAAAAGGGGGAGCGGTGTCAGTCTCCGGACAATCGCACGTCACCCTACCTCCCCCTTCCTCCCCACAACCCACTACAGGCAGCAGCTTTTTCAGTTGTGTTATTTCATTCCACAGCCCAGAATCCTGGGCTGCAGAGGGAAGAGTGTGGCCAGCAGGTCAAGGGAAGTCATTCTCCCCCTCTGCTCTGCACTGGGGAGGCCACAACTGGAATCCTGCGTCCAGTTCTGGGCTCCCCAGTTCAAGAGGGACAAGGAGCTACTGGAAAGAGTCCAGCGAAGGGCAACAAAGATGATTCAAGGATTGGAGCATCTCTCTTATGAAGAAAGACTGAGAGAGCTGGGACTCTTTAGCCTGGAGAAGAGAAGGCTGAGAGGAGCCCTTATTAATACTGACGAGTGTCTCAAGGGTGGGTTGAAGGAGGAGGGAGCCAGACTCTTTTCAGTGGTTCCCAGTGAGAGGACGAGGGGCAACGGGCACAAGTTGGAACAGAAGAGGTTCCACTCAAATATGAGGAGAAACTTCTTCCCAGTGAGGGTGGCAGAGCCCTGGAAGAGGCTGCCCAGGGAGGGTGTGGAGTCCCCTTCCTTGGAGATTTTCAATACCCCCCCTGGATGCTCCTGAGTAACATGCTCTGACAAGCTCTAGGCAATCCTGCTTCAGCAGGGGAGTTGGACTAGATGATCTCTATGGTCCCTTCCAACTCTAAAAATTCAGTGAAATTCAGTTATTTCAATCCGGCCCCTGCCTAAGAGCAGCTCTTTTCACACTGCTGAGGGTACAGAGAAAGAAAATCAAGCAACACCAGTCTATCGTGAAAGAAGAGGCACAGTTATCAAAACCAGAGAGCGGGCCTATCAAGATAAGAATGGTTCCAAAAACAGGTTACACCCAAAAAAAGGCTGAGCGTGACCCAGAGGATTTGCTTTAAGGGCCAAACTTTCAGACAGGCTCCCTTTGCCAAGGAAAATAAAAACCAAAGGTTCCAAAACCAGGTTACACCCAAAAAAAGGCCGAGCGTGACCCAAAGGATTTGCTTTAAGGGCCAAACTTTTTAGATGGGCTCCCTTTGCCAAGGAAAATAAAAACCAAACAAAAAACGCTTTTGCTAAACCTCCTTATTCGTGCCCACAAATCAAGCAGCTGGATGTCCCAACGTCCCCACGACGTCTTTGCAAGCTCAAATGGCATCTGTACAACTAACACCTGGTGCAAGCTTCACCTCTGATTTATTTCCTATAGAAACCCTGTTTCCAAATTAATTTTGTGGTTGGGGGACCTGTGGAACAGGTTGCCCAGGCCCCATCCCTGGAGATATTCAAGGTGAGGCTCGATGAGGCCCTGGGCAACCTGGTCTAGTTGGGGGTGTCCCTGCTGACTGCGGGGGGGTCGGAGTAGATGACCTTTGGAAGTCCGACTAGATGGCCTTTGGAGGTCCCTTCCAGCCTGGACAACTCTATGACCTGTATGTTTTACAGCCACACCAGCAATATCTGGGAGGTGAAACCAGCTCAGATAATTAAGCAGTAGAAGGACTCCAAACTCAATGCCAATTTTTTTTTCCCCATTATTTCTGTGCAGTTCTCCCATGACCCAGCACACCGGGTGTGACGCGGGCGATCTGGGGGTCACCTCAATTCAAGCTCTCCAACCCCCCGAGCCTCCCCCTCAGCTGTTTTTACTTTGATTCCCAGCTCAAACCACAGTCAGTTACTTCTACAACCTGCTGTGAACTCTGGCCATTTGCTTTGTTCTCCTTGAGTGTCATGGGATGGCAACGGGGGGCAGAGGGGGTGCAAGGAACATCTGTTTGGAAGGAATCCATTCCCCGTTAGCGTATCGCTTCGAGTGCCGGGGGATAACAGCTTTTTCAGTAAAACAGACAATAAAGCAATCACAAAAGTTCATTAAAACGTGGTGGCTGGGTGCTGTGGCTGGTGAAAGGCTTCCAACCAGCCGAGGAGCACGTGGCCACTGGTCCCAAGGTGCAGTTGACAAGAGCTTAGCTGAGTTGGGGGCTTCTGCTCTGTTCCTACAGACCCGACACCGATAGCACCAGAGAAAAGGGGGAGGTTGGAGAGAGCTGAGGGTGCCAACATGCAAACTAAACAAAATCAATTTCCCAATTAACGAGTGCACAAGCTTGATGGAGGGGAGGGGTGTGCACCCAGAGGAGACTCCTGAAGGTCTGTGTCTCAAACAGAGATTTAAGTATGAAAAGCACTATGGTGCCCTGCTCTGCTGCCAGGGGAAGCATCACCAGCTCGTACTTAGACCTCTGCTGAGCGGGCAGGCGGTGACTATCCATGCAGAGAGGCTTGAACGTCTGACAGTCTGCTACAGCTGGGGGTGCCCATCTTCTGTGCTCGCTGGTACAGATCCGAGTCTCCGAAGTAGCGCGCCCGGTACAACAAGCCTTCCTCTGCAAAGGGAAAAGCCCAGCGTTACCAACCCCATGTAGAAGGAGACCCACCTGCCAAGCCATGTTCCACCCCAGGACCTGCTCCTGCTGGGCACGGGAGGCACCTCAAGTTCTCCGAGGCGAGATGAAGCACAGGATGAGGCTGGGGAAATGCCCCGTGCCCTTTAGGACAGAATGGGTGTAACATCTGCTGACAGCTCATCCATCCCAGGGAAAGCCTTAGGAACCTGACAGGACCTGCCTCTAGTCCCAGGAGGCACACGAGGCAGCCTACACAAAGGTCAGCCCAGCTGCACGGGTGAGAAGAAAGGCAGAGGCTCACAGCTTGGTGTATTGGCCTCAGAGAAAAGAAGGCTGAGGGGCGACCCTATCAATGCCTACAAGTATCTCAAGGGAGGGCTGAAGGAGGAGGGAGCCAGACTCTTTTCAGTGGTTCCCAGTGAGAGGACGAGGGGCAATGGGCACAAGTTGGAACATAAGAGGTTCCACTCAAATATGAGAAAAAACTTCTTCACAGTGAGGGTGGCAGAGCCCTGGAACAGGCTGCCCAGGGAGGGGGTGGAGTCCCCTTCTCTGGAGATTTTCAAGACCCGCCTGGATGCTCCTGAGTAACATGCTCTGACAAGCTCTAGGCAATCCTGCTTCAGCAGGGGAGTTGGACTAGATGATCTCTATGGTCCCTTCCAACTCTAAAATTCAGTGAAATTCAGTGAAATTTGGCAGCGTCAGGGGCTCTAACAGCCCCTCCTGCCTCCCAGGGCATCGGGGGCTCTAACAGCCCCTCCTGCCTCCCAGGCACTCAAATCCCACCCCAGCCACTGCTCCAAGAGCTTGTCACCAGCTGGGATGGGGTGCCCAGAGAAGTCAGGTCACTCCTGGGACTTGGTGAACAGTTTGCTGCCCTCACCACACCCTGATGGCCACATCATCTCTAACACTGTCTGGCCGGGTGGCCGTCCCTCCTGGCCCCATAACCCTTGCCTTCAGCAAGGCCATGTCTGTGCTGCCACCACAGCCTTCTGAGCAGGGACGGGGTGTGGGATGGAGGACACCACGGGCAGCAAACTTTCAGACACCAAAACGAACAACTGAGATATTACACGGGGCTATCGGGGGCCCCCTGAGAATGAGATGGCTGCAACCTTCCCCCCTTCCACTGGAAAACAAGAGATATCCTACTGACAGGGCAGGGAACCTGTGGGGCACAACTCCTGTCCGACCAGTTCTACAGCAGCATTAAAAAACAAACCAAAACAAAAACCCCCACATGCTGGATTTGTCACGAAGTCATAGATAGAAAAAAAAAACCCAACAAAACAAAACCACCAACAAAACAGGAAATGTTGCTTGCACCATGTTAAAGTGTAACTTTAGCATAACTCAGTCCCCAGTAAAGATCTTTCTGAAGCCGACCGACGCCGCAGCCAAGACCCCCGGGGCCTGACCCCATGTTACTCACTCTGCTGCTTCTCTTTCCAGCAGTTATTTCGAAGGTTTGCGATGTAGTCGTCCTCCACGCTCCTTTCCACATTTTTCAGGTTTGTGCCCGTGTATTCATCTGCAAAGTTCTCAGCTACGTAATAGGTGACTCTTAAGTGCTCTGTCACTCTCCTGTGTATGTGACCCACAGACCTAGTTGAGGGAGAAGAGTCAAAAAAGTGTAGGACACCTTTCGAGGGCTGAGCAAAAAAGCTCCCAGCTCTTTATAATGCCCAACATGCCACGATACTGAGCTGCTGAAAACATACATCACTCCTCTGCATCCCCAGACTTGAAGGCTTTGGAAAGGAGAAGCGTTAATGGTGGAAATGAAACGCCAACACAGAGAGAGGGAAAACCTGCCAGGCCTCTAGCGAGGTGGGCAGAGCTCCCAAAACAGACATAACTCTGAGGCAGATTGCCCAAGGCCCAAACCCACTTAAAATAAAGCGTTCATTAGATTTTTCAGCACTAATTAAATCTCTCTGCAATCTCCTTGTGGATGACACCATCGTGTTTTTTGCTGGTGAGCCCCAAGGATGGTTGCAGAGCTCGGAGGGTGATGCCTGTGCCAGGCAGGGTGAGAGCAGCCGGCGAGGCAGGACGGTGCCTGCAGGGAGGAGCCGGGGGAGGGCAGAGCAGGGGCTGGCTGTCACAGCTCCCCAGAACCCCCCCTTTGCTCAGCAAGGTTGTCCTTCACTCAAACCCAGTCCCCTCTGACAAGATATCTGCTAACCCCAAGCGCATCAGCTTCCTCTACCACATCACATGCTGCAACGAATACCGTCCCTGCAAGAACAAAATTAGACCTGCTCGGCACTCGAGCCTGCACCAACTGGCACAGAAAGCACTTGCTAGAAGAAAAAAATCTCTTCTTACCCTGCCCCCGTGGATTTGCATTTCAGACAGAGCCCTGCACTTATTTTCCCCAACACTCCAGCAAACCTAGAGATACTCGCTAGGGCGTGTTTGCAAGCTGCAACACAGGACCTGTGCCCAAACACTAGATTCATCAGGAACAGCTCCATCTGGAGACGTGCCCAAAGTTCCCCATAATAAATACCAGCTGGCTGCTGCATTAAAAGCCAGCCTGATTCTTAAGCCAGGTATAAACATTAACTCATCCGGCTCGCCCTTCAGTCTGTTATCAGGGTTTACAGGAGTGATTCAAAGACTCCTGCCTGTTTCATCAAGGTCCAGGACTCAGGGATGAGCAGTGGGTACCTGGACAGACTGCACATGACCAAAAAAACTCTCTTGGTGGTTTTTGAGACACAGGCTAACGCATTTCCAGCAGTGCCTGCTGGCAGAGTTACAGCCTGGAAGAAGCTCAGCTCACTATTTTACCTGTTCAGACAGAGCCCTAAGCTCTCCCAAAGTTCCTACACCTCGTCTGTATGCAGATGAACTACAGAGGCTACAAGGTGGGCTCTCAAAGGAGAAGGATTTAAGCTCACAGAGTTTCAGCAGCATGTTTGAGTGTAAAGCATGAAAACGAGGGCAGGACCTGGTGCAAGAAACCTGCCACCACCAAGTCAGGCACGCAATTAAGTCAGGCAAATTCAATGAGGTGTTACTGAAGAGCAGGGTGATGCAGACAGGCCCACAGCTCTTTTGGCAGAAAGCTAGTTTTTGGAAGAGATTTACAAAAGCAACAGAGCAACAAATGGTTCTTCGGGACTCTGCCTTTCTCACCGACAGCTTCACTGCCAAGAAGCGGCATTAAAATCTCCGTGTGCCATTGAAACCTCACTGGGTTAAAAAAGCTTCTCACCTCCTGCTCAGCAAGATCAGCGTGGGGAGCTCCAGCTTTCTGCCAAAGGGCAGCCAGGAACAGCCTTTCCCTTTCCATCAGGCAGCAAAAGGGACCTGGCTGCCTGCGTGAGTGAGCAGCACCGCCTGCTGGCACAGCAAGCCTTCTCCTCCCCAGCCCAGCTGAGGAGCCTTGCTCCCTCAGGAAGGAGGCACTGAGGACTGGATCAGCTCATTTGCTGCTCTTCTCCAAATCCCAAAGGTGGCAATGGGCCTGCCTGCTGCTATCTCAGCATGAAGAGACAGGGAGAGCACAGGGAACGGGGAACCGAGCAGCAGAGAAACACCTGGGGCTCAGGGGGGGCTGAGAACTGGCAAGGCTGGAAGCAAATCCCTGCCCACTTAGAAGTTGCCCTCCACTGAACACGTTCTCGCCCCATAAACCACCTCTTCACCAGCATAAAACAACCTGGTACACATATACTGTAACATATAACTGTAGAAATCACATCTCAGTGCTCTTTAGCATCTCAGAATAACCCTGAACTCTGCCCCCTTCAAAACCCCTCCACCTTTTGGTTCCAAGCACTAACGTGCACGTCAAAAAAAAACTACAGCCACATTACCTTGGACTCAAAAGCTAAGCTGAGTTTTATAGTATTTAACATCATCAACGGCAAATGTTGTCACCTGTGAAACTAAACAGGGCCCGCTGGCTGTAACCAAGTCTACCCTCTTTAAATACACATAAGGAGCTTCCACTGAAAGTACATTAAGCTTTTGCCAAGAATGATGCAAGCAGCCAGAAATCAAGCCTGTTTTCCCATTCTTTGTTGGCACTGCAAAGTGAGCAAGAATAAAGACTCATTTCATTTGCCAAACAAGTGAGCAGATCAGGGCATTTCCACAAGATCTACGATGAAACAGCTTCACTTTTGCATAGTAAATGTCTGGCCATAGCTATTTTGCAGCAAGATTAGAGTTCAAAAATAGGGTATTTTCTCTGGGAGTGTCTTTTATTCCTTCCTCTCTTCCTGTATTGCTTTGCACTGGGCACAAACTGAAGCCTTCATGAAGACCAGATCTGGCTTTTCTTTTTCACACCTAGATTTGACTCTCCATATCAATTCATTCTGCATATGGGATCTCGGTGCTGGGCTACAGTCTCTCAAAGCCATTTTGCCTGTCCCTTTCTAGGACAGACACAGGGTATGGGCTGCAGAAGGTCCCTATCAAAGAACATCCTCCCTTAAGCAAGTGAGCACCCTCCAACCTTCCCCACACCTTCCATCTCAAGACCTGTTTGAGAACCAGGCAGCCTTCGCTGACCTGCAAGACATCTGGCAGCAAGAGCAGTGGTGGGATGAGATAAAGCAAAGAAAATAGAAAAGACAGGAAAAGCAGAGAGCCTAGATCCCTACCCCACCACGCCACCCTGCCCTCCAGAACCCAACCCCCCTCCCCAGCAGGAAAAGTTTTAGAGTAACGAGTACTAACGGCCTCTGGCTCAAACTGTAGGGTGGGCTGGAGACCATCATCTGGCTGAGAGCAGACACAATGATCAGGATGAGGATAGGCATCAGCTGGACAAACAACCCAAGGCCACCCTGAAGGAACAGAAACACACAGTGGAGCGTCACCCATACACTTCTGTGCAAGGATCCCATTGCTCTCCCTCCCAGCCCTAACGCAACCTCAATTTTCCTGCTTTTCACAGGCATTCAGCTTAGGAGGCACCCCAAAATAACTGGGGGGGAACCCAGCAGCCCAGAGTTCCCCCCCAAGAAAGAGCAGCATGACTCCAAAGACCCAAATTTACTGCTCCTTCTCCAGGTGTGATAAAGGGCAGAGGGGACTGGTAGGGGGACCCTTGTGAGTGAATTTCAAAAGCCCCACAGCCGTATTTTGTTTCTCTAGAGCACATGTGGTTTCTGTCCTGCCTGTGCCAGTGAGCAAAACTGGTTTTATGGAAAACCTTCTCTCCTCTTCAGTGTCAGATAAAAGTAATTCCCCCCCCTACCCCACCTCCTGAGCTCCCTCCAGTTCCAGCAGAGTACACCTTCCCCTTTAAGCTTGAGCAAAAATATTCAGGAAATTCTCATTGTTTGTTTGGGGTTTGGTTTCTTTTTTGTTTCTTTGTTTGTTGGTGTTGGCTTTTTTAAAAATATAATTGCCCATCCCCAGGAAACAGTAAATTTCAATACGTAACCCTGGTCTCTTAAGGAGTAAGTCCCTCATTCTCACTTCTCTAGACCAGAGGGCTTGGAGTGCTGGAGATACACTTAGATTTTCTGTGATGGGAAAACACAAAAGCAGCTCATGCTATTCAGTGTCTTCCTTTGTTAATTAAGAATCACAGATTAGAAAACCCCATCTTCAATATTAGAATAAAAGGGAGAATGAGTTCACGTTGGGAGGAGCCGCAAGTATCCATAGTATCTGAAAAGTGGATTTCCCTTTGAAATTACAGAATTAAATCAGAAAGGAAATACTTATTCTGTGGTCAAGACAGGTATATCTTACTGGTGTGATCTTATTTGAAAGCAGCACTGTTTCAAGACACACCAGCATTTTCCCTAAACTAAGAGTCCCAGGAGAACAATCACCAGTAAATTAACTGCAACTTGGTGTAAATTCTGAAGGCAGCTCAGAAAACAGTTTTCACAAAACAGCCACACCAACTAGCTCCCAATTCACAGATCAGAAAAACCTTTAGACTCCCAGCCCCCTGCCTGTTCCCCACTTACATCACCCTGATGTTCTCTCCTGTCCTGCCTCTGATGGTAGGTGTATCGCATCCTGCCGTTGCTGTACACGTGAACGTTACCTATAGGCAAAAGAAAACCGTTAGACAAAAGTCAGAGTAGGTAAGATGGTGCTGGCTGGCCAGGAAGGAACCACGAAAGGTGGCCATGTCCCACGTCAGCCTCAACAATCAACACATTAGGACAGAGGAGGCTGGGTGCTGACAACAGCGAAGTCAGGAATCTTAATTTTGAACGTTGTCAGAATGGGCTTGAGCTGTTTCTTTGGTTCGGGCCACACTCAGCAAAGATATAAGGACCAGACTGGGTGCTGACAACAGCAAAATCAGGAATCTTAACTTTGAATGGGCTTGAGCTGTTTCTTTGGTTCGGGCCACACTCAGCAAAGATATAAGGACATAGAGATTGAAAAGGAATTCACGCTGTGCTCACACTTAGATCTGGTGACAGGACAAGAGGAAATGGGCACAAACTTGAACATAAGAAGTTCCATCTAAACATGAGGAGGAACTTCTTCACTTTGAGGGTGGCAGAGCCCCGGAAGAGGCTGCCCAGAGAGGTGGGGGAGTCTCCTTCTCTGGAGACATTCAAACCCCACCTGGACACGTTCCTGTGGGACCTGCTCTGGGTGGACCTGCTCTGGCAGGGGGTTGGACTAGATGATCTCCAGAGGTCTCTTCTAACCCCATGTCATTCTGGGATTGTGTGGTCTGCCATTACCATTGCTCCCAGTTCAGCCTGCTTCAGGGAGCCAGCAGCAGGCCAGGCAGTGCAGAGCTGGAAGAATGACAGCACATCCACCCAGCTGGGCTGCTGCCAGGCTGGAGCTGGGATGTCTCAGCAAAATGGTGATTTGACAGACTGGGGCTATTCCTGAGATCCCTGTGTATGTCCCAGTGCACAAGGTGCACGTCCACGGTGTTGGTCAGCAGAGCACAGGGCCAAAGTCCCCCACTGAAGCCACTCCATCACGTGCCTCGACAGAGAATGCTGTAGCTTTGGTGAGAAGCAGGTATGGGACTCCATAGGATTTGGACAAAAGAATTCATAGGGGAAAAAATATCTATTCATCACCTGAAGGCAATATTTACAAAATGAGCTATATAAGCTACAGCTGAAAAAAACCAGGGTATTCCTAAGGAGATATGTCTGAAGGCAAACTGATGGTGGGCACAGAGATCTGTCTACAGAATCACATGAAAATTCAGCTTGGAAGTGACCAGGAGGTCCAACTTCCTGCTCAAAGCAGGGCCAGCTGTGTAGAGACACTACCTTGTACAGGTCTCCTCGCTTCTAATTGAACTTCCTTTAGATTAAAACCAATTACAAACCTAAATAATTTCAGTAGCTTTTCCACCTTAAAAACAGAACTCTTCCATGTCTTGTTTTAAATGTCAAAACTGCAGCTAAAAAGGGAGGCCAACTGAGAAAGCGGTCATCAATTCTCTTGGGACAGTGAGGAAAGGAAAAAAAGATTGAGCTAAAATAGCAACCCACTGGTTTTACCCGAGTAGCTTTACCTCTCTGGCAGGCAGAACATGAATGCCACAAAAGGCTTCAAAATGCCTTCGCAAGGACTTGCCGTTAGCGTGTTAATTCTCACATGCCAGATAGGAAAGAGCTACCAGAGTAAATCTTCTCAACTGAAACAAAAATATTTATTTTTCCAAGTTGGTCCACGGAGGTCAAATAACCACTGCCTCTGCTGCCGGGCAAATATGAATAAAGTAAATACAAGAGAGTCTTCTAAAACACCCTTATCCTTATATTAAATGTGTGGTGTTTTGATCGGAACCGATCAAGTGAAGGAACACTCCTTTCCTGCTACCGAAACCATAATCACTACTGTGGATAGACAGGATGCAGATTTAATTTTCAACTCAAGAGGTTTAAATTATGCTCTAGAAATAACACTTTCCTCCTTTTTATGGGACACAGTGGAAAGAAGGAAGTGGTCACTGATGTCACAGAAACTGTTTCAGCCCGTGTGGTAGAGCAGATACAGATCAAGAACAAGGCCCGGGTGTTACCACACTTTGTTCTGCTGAGAAGATTTAACTTCTAGAACCATCAGGCAGAAAAAGCCTTCTTCAAAATAGGATTATTTTTACAACTAGCCTCACACAAGTAATTTTTTATTCTAACGTTCCACCCAACTTAGTAAGAGCTAATGTTGCCAGCATGCAAACAAATATCTGAAGTTGGGCAGAAGTCCAGCTCTGGACTCATTACCTGCTGGATGCTGAGTTCTCTAAATTGTCTGAACAATTTAGAAAACTCTAGGTGTTTAGGTCATGTGTGAAGGAGAACTCTCTCCCATCAAACTCAGCAATCCTTGCACGGCCAAACCAATCGCTACCGCACTGTTGCTCTCTCAAAAAGGATAGGGTCCCGTTCAAGAGATTTAAGGTTTAACGTGCTTACTAGAAGGAAAACCACCACCAAAAAACATGTTGAAGAGGTCCTCGGGGGAGATGTCTGCCTCAAACCCGCGGTGGAAGTCCGAGTGACTGTGTCCGTGCCGAGCAGGGTTGAGTTTCTCGTCTCCGAACTGGTCATATTGCTTCCTCTTCTCCGGGTTGCTCAATACCGCGTACGCGTTACCAATGGCTGAAATATTGACAATAAGGAAGCAATTAGCTTCTTTCTTCTAGAGATAATACATCTCACCCCACAGACTTGCCTTTCTCATGACACAAACGAGATCCTCAGCTACCCACGTCTTTTCGACAGCGCAGCACTACTACCTGGCACGCTCACTTCTCTGGCAAACACAGGCAGAAAGAAAACCACACCAAGAGACTGGATGAAAAAGGCCTTAACTAATTAAAATGATGAAGCTTGGTACAAATTGGGGTGTATGTCCCTGGAGAAACCGTCTCAGATGAATGAAACTATGAATTGCGAAAGAAATGCTGGTTGTAGAGCAGCTACACTTTTCGCTTAGTTAAACTTCTGACTTCTTTTGAGTGACTCCTTTTTGAATTTGAAACTTCTTACTTCTTTTCAACTAATGCCCAAATCCTTCGGCCATAAGCAACTGTGTGGGAAAATACAATTTTATTAGACAAATTTTATTCAAAAGTGCCATTAAGGAAATTCAATGTCGTAGCCTAAAACCAGAACTGCAAAGAATTTAAATACGGGCTAGATCACTGAAAGGAGATTGAAAACCTTCCATAGAAGTTAGGAAGGAAATGTTGGCTAGAAGTTGTGTCTGTTAGCTATGGATTTAAAAATTTCCACCAGTAAGGTGCACAATTATAAGGGCTGTTAACCAGTGCCTGTGAGGGTGGAAATGTACTGGAACTAAAGCCCTGCCAGTTCCCCAGGTCACTCTCCTTCCAACCTCAGCACATTTGAGCCTTTCTACCAGAAGGTCTGCCTGCCACCCTCCTCTATTTCTGTACTTCTCTCTCTCCACACATCCCAGCTTACCACTTCCCCTCTCTACCAACCCACCCCGGGGCCTCCCTGCGTAACTGCAGAGCACAAACTCTCTCCTCCCTGTGTCACGAGGAGGCAAAAACGTCCAAGGCAGTAGTTGCTTGGTGGACACAAGGTAGAAGTTATAGAAAACAGAAATACATGCCCTTTGGAGGAGATGAACTCCAAGATTCAACATTTTCCCCGTACGCAGATCGAGGTGTACGGTTTCCTCTTGGACTAGAGATTTGGAGAGTGGAGGATATCATGTCAATGTGCTCATTCTTCTTCTTGGTTATAATTAGTGCACAGAGAGCAAACATTTCTACAACCAGGCAAGATGAGCTGGACGACAAGGACTGACTCTCAGCACATTAGCTTGTTCTTTCAAACTGTGTGGTTAAGCAACGAAAACGGAGCAGTTCGGGGGGTTTATTCGTTGTCCAACTTTCTGCTGACAAAGCCCAGGAAACACCTCATTCCAAATCAGGATTTTGGCTCAAAGTAGCCAGGTTCAACTCTTTTTCCCAACATCAGCCAAAGGTAGTGATGCAAATCTGCTCCAAGACAGACTGCAGCCAACTGCAACTACAGACTGAGACAAGGTCTCAAGATAAGATGTAATGCTTGATCATCTGTCACTAGGAAGACGAATGCCAAAACCTCAGCTAATATATAAAAAAAATATAAAAAATTAACTAAACTCCTCATAGCAGCGCACATTTCCACCCTCACCCACTGAAGCTGGACTTCAGTGAGCCCCAGGGACTAGCAGCTCAGGGGCTGAAGGACAGGGGAGCCAAGGAGGCAAGGCCCAAGGAGAGATAACCGGAGAGCAGATAGCTCCGCAGCGGAGGATAAAGGGCACCTTGCTTAACGCACACCTTCTGGCACGTAACTCTCATCAAAGCCTTCAGCAAACATCATTATTTAAGATTCCAGGTGAAGAAACCTGCCTTTCGCCACTGGGCAAGGATTGAAGGATAAACTCTGGCTCAGGGGCTGACTGCCCATGTGGCAGGGACAGATGTCCGCAAACGCTGGCTCTTTAGTCTGCCCCCCCCTTCCCCCACTAAAAAAAGGCTTTCCCAAGTAGCTGAGGGTCAGCCCGTTATTTGCTAACAGCAATACGCTTATCACTTATGGATTTAAGTCTTAAAAGACTTGAACAAACCTTACATAAGACTTTTACTGCCGAATTCATGTCTACCAGGAGCTCACCCCCACACTGTACCAATGCACTTACATCGGGGTAGCCTTGCTCCCTGCTCCAGCAGAAGTCTCACACGTTTCACTCCTGAGATGGCCAGAATCAAACCACGCTATTTAAATGATTTAACACTGCAAAACCCCTGCTGTACAACCACAATCAAAAAGTTCTGCCTTTAGCTCGAGGATAATAATCAAACTCCCACAGCTTGCAAGGGAAAATGGGGTTATGTGTTCCAAGCAATAGAATTTCTCTTGGAAAATTACTCGTTTTAAGGTATCTTATTACCCAGGAAACATCCCTGCTGCATGGGTAGAGGCCCTGAGAATCCGGCTCTTCACAGCAGAATTGAAGCTCCTGGTGACCTTTTTCAAGTCCTGGTTGGGCTCAGTTGTATGGCTGCTCCAGTTTCGCCCTAGAAATTTTCACCTGGGGTTTCTATCCACCAATTCCACCTACAACCTTTCGCAACGGTCAGGTGCTTTCTTAGAAACCTGAAGGCTTACTGGCTGCCTGAAATGCTCAATGAGTGGAAGAGTATGACTACCAGCTCTGAAGAAGATGAGTTTCCTGCCATCGGGCATGTCCAGCAATGTTTCTCCCGAGGGATTCAGGAACCCAACAGCTGCCTGTGGTGCTGCACAACTTACAATCATAGAATGGTCCAGGCCGGAAGGGACCTCCAAAGGCCATCTAGTCCGACCCCCCTGCAGTCAGCAGGGACACCCCCAACTAGACCAGGTTGCCCAGGGCCTCGTCGAGCCTCTCCTTGAATATCTCCAGGGAAGGGGCCTCAACCACCTCCCTGGGCAACCTGTTCCAGTGCTCCACCACCCTCACAGTGAAGAACTTGTTCCTAATCTCCAACCTAAATCTGCTCCCCTCCAGCTTGAAGCCATTACCCCTCGTCCTGTCACTGCAGGCCTTTCTAAACAGGCTCTCCCCAGCCTTCCTGTAGCCCCCTCAGGTACTGGAAGGCCGCTATTAGGTCTCCCTGGAGCCTCCTCTTCTCCAGGCTGAACAACCCCAGCTCCTTCAGCCTGTCCTCGTAGCAGAGGTGCTCCAACCCCCTGATCATCCTCGTGGCCCTCCTCTGGACCCGCTCCACCAGGTCCATATCTTTTCTATATTGAGGACTCAACTTATTGGGTCTCTCCTGGATTTGTTGGTGGACATGGGTGCACCCCAGCACCTGCCCTGTGCTGGATGGCTGCAGGGCTTGGAGCTTCTCCCTGTTAGGTGAATGCTCTTGTATCTCTCAAAAAAACCCAGGATGGTTGACATCCCGAGGGAATTTCCTCCTATGCAGCCTGGCAGGAGGCTGGAGCAACAGACGGGAAGGGCTGCTAGGAGAAAGGGAAGGAAGGCTTCTCCTTGTCTGACTAGCAGAGGTGAAGCCTTTCCACACCAACCTGTGTTTAGTATTTTAAGCTTACGGCATACTTTGTTCATAATACAACCAGCTCAGAAGAAGAGCTACAACTTTACTAAGAGGAGGTTTATTTCACTCTACCTGACTCGTGAGGTTGTTTTTAAGAGCCCTTGCTCGCCCAACGCAGCAGCATCATCTGATGGTTGAGGGCAAACCCCAAAGTTGGAAGCGCTCTTTACCTTTAAAGGCCTCTGTAGCCCCTGGTGCGTGGTTCTTATCTGGGTGAAATTTCAGTGCAAGTTTCCTGTAAGCCTTTTTCAGGTCCTCATCAGAAGCTTCTCTGTTTACTCCCAGAATTTCATAGTAATCTTTGCATCGCTTTACCCTGCCAGCAGAGAGGGGAGAAAACACGGGACAGTTAAGTTTCAGCTTGTAAAACCCACTTTGCATTGAACAGGTCTACTCCCCAACATCTCCCCCCACCCCAGTTTCGATGGATGTCGTTCAGTGAACTCCGGTTTACTCAGCTCTAATTCCTCAGAGGGTGACCCAATTTTGTTTCCACAGACTCATTCCCGCTGTGCCTGCATTATGAGCACACAAACACACTCACAGAACAAGTCAAGCCAGTAAAGGTAGAAGGGCCTCTCCTGAGGCAATGATATCACCCGCTGAAGAATGTGATTAGCAAATAAGCTTCAGATTCATCACGGTCACGTTTTGGAGGCTATTTGGGAAGGACTACACATGGCAGGCTAGGATCTGAAGGAGAGCTGGGCTGTTGGCTTTCCCCTCCTCATCCCAGACTCTGTTAATTCACAGACCTAAAAATAACACGGGCTGAATTCTAGAGGAAGAAAGAGGGAGCTGCCCAGGCCTGTGCGCAGCCCAGCCCGTCCCGGGGAAACTTGCAGCCCCGGGATGGTTTCTCCTTCTCACATGACTTCGATGAGGCAGAACTCAGCAGTCTGGGTTTTTGGAGAAACGGATGATGTAACAAGCATCCTGGTAAGTCCAGGAGCCACAGCAGTTCTTGCGCAATCCAGACCATGCCCATAACCTTAAACAAAGTTTATCAAGTGACTGTGCCTGCAGCCCAGTCCTTCATCTTCCAGTATTTACAAATGGTAGAAAGGAATAAAGAACAGCTTGAAACAGGGTTGGGAAAACAGGCGACTGGATAAATGTGTCCTGGGACTCTCCAGAATCATAGAATCATACAATCATAGAATTGCCCAGGCCAGAAGGGACCTCCAAAGGCCATCTAGTCCGACCCCCCCGCAGTCAGCAGGGACACCCCCAACTAGACCAGGTTGCCCAGGGCCTCGTCGAGCCTCTCCTTGAATATCTCCAGGGAAGGGGCCTCAACCACCTCCCTGGGCAACCTGTTCCAGTGCTCCACCACCCTCACAGTGAAGAACCCTCTCCTAATCTCCAATCCATCAGGTCCATGTCCTTCTTATATTGAGGGCTCCAGACCTGCACACAATACTCCAGGTGAGGTCTCACCAGAGCAGAGTAAAGTGGCAGAATCCCCTCTCTGGACCTGCTGGCAACGCATCTTTTGATGCAGCCCAGGATGGGATTGGCCTTCTGGGCTCCAAGTCCCCACTGCCTGCTCATGTCCAGCTTCTCATCCACCAGCACCCCCAAGTCCCTTTCCTCAGGGCTGCTTTCCAATACCTCACCCCCTAGTTTGTATTGGTGGCGAGGATTGTTCCGGCCCAGGTGCAGAACCTTGCATTTGCTCTTGTTGAACCTCATGAGCCTTAGCAGGACCCTTAGAAGTGTATCGTGCTAAGAGAGTGAAGCAGTGGATTCCAACTTCATCAGGCTGTAAGAGAGACCATGAGCAGCGTATCATCAGGAGAGAAGGACACAGATGTGCCCCGTCACTTGCTGCTAGGTCAAAGCTTAGAGAAGGAGGGCTGCCTACTGCAAGCCATGAGCCATGACTTCCACCTACAGGATCTCAAGAGCACATGGGATTTCTCACAGCGTTACTGAGTAACACTCAAGAAAACATTAATGCAAAGTCCATGGGATGAACACACCCTAAAGGTCTCTTTGGACCTCAGCCAAGAAGAGGACTACAGGCCTAATGTTCTAGCCCTTGTGTATGCCTTTGAGGGATTATCTCATCCCTCGTAGAACCAACCCAGCTGCCTCCCAGGGCTGCTGCAGCTATAAATCCTCCTAGGTATGCTTTTGACACCCAGCCAGTTAGAAATCACCCAATATGGTTCAAAGCACTGTGAAAACCAGACCAGTATCACATGATAAACTCAAACCAACTGTGGGTTGGAGCCACAGAGAACTGCTGCACGCACCTCTTCACTGCATCCACCTGGTCCTGAGTGTAGCCCTTGGGGGCCTCCCCACCAGCTTCTCCGTTGGCCGATGGGAAGTCTCCGCTCATTTTCTTGAACTGGGGGTTTGTGGACTCTCTGGACTGGCCATTGGCTGATTGCTCATTCTTGTTGAGTGATTCAAGCAGAACTGAAATGAGAAAAAGAAAAAGGTTAAGAGACCACCAAGCTCTATTGCCCTTCCAACTCTCCTGTAAAGAGGCCCCTCTTCATCTCTGCCCCTGCCCCAAGACTCCCCAGCCTTCATCAGAAAGACCCCCACCTTTTCACCCAAGGAACACTCGAGCTCCTGATGCTTCTTGCCCAGATGTGAAGGCTGCTGCTGAAGATATGGCCTGCTTCTCCCAACACTCACAGCCTCCATCAGAACTCCAGGCCTATCCAGCTGGATAGTCTGGGAGCCACAGGGGATCACCAAAGTGGCACATCCTTGTCTTGTCCTTTTTTTTCCTCCCACATCTCTCGTTAACAATGAAGAATTTCCACGTTTGTTCTCTAGCAAATTATAAAGAATATTATCCTTCCTTATCTCCTCCTGTTGAGAATCTACTGCGCTGGGTAAATTATGTGAGGATGTCCTATCTTTACAGAGCCTAGAAAATTATACCGTGGGATGCCAGTCACATGGGGACACCCCTTTTGGGGACAGAGCTGCAGCTCTCATGGCTGGCAGCATGAAAGGTCCCGTAAGACATGAGTCAGACGGGTGCTTTTTTCTATAGCACTGTCTTACCTACGTATTCAATGCGTGTAGAAGGCTGGGAAAGCCATCTTTCTCAATTAGCAAATGCGAATTACGTAAGTTCAGCTTCCTTTTTCTTAAGTGGGGTGCGTACACATATTGCATAAACTGCTGTGGACTGTCACGGAATCATAGAATTTTCCAGGTTGGAAGGGACCTTCAAGATCATCTAGTCCAACCATCAACCTACCTCTGATAAAAACCATCACTAAACCATGTCTCTAAGCACTATGGCAACCTGGCTTTTCAATCCCTCCAGGGATGGGGCCTCAACCCCTTCCCTGGGCAGAGCATTCCAAGGCTTCAGAACCCTTTCCCTGTCAACATTTTTCCTACTCTCCAATCTGAACCTCCCCTGGGGCAACTTGAGGCCATTTCCTCTTGTCCCATGGCCTGGGACTTGGGAGAAGAGACCGACCCCCCCTGGCTACACCCTCCTTTCAGGGAGTTGGAGAGAGCGAGAAGGGCTCCCCTCAGCCTCCTCTTCTCCAGGCTGAACACCCCCAGCTCCCTCAGCCTCTCCTCAGGAGACTTGTTCTCCAGACCCCTCACCAGCTCCGTTGCCCTTCTCTGGACCCACTCCAGCCCCTCAAGGTCTTTTTTGTGGGAAGGGGCCCAAAACTGGACCCAGCCCTTGAGGTAGAGCCTCACCAGTGCCCAGCACAGGGGGACCATCACCTCCCGAGTCCTCCTCCCTATACTGTTCCTGACACAGGCCAAGAAGATATCGCCTCCTCCTTGCAAGGCTCGGACACTGCCTTCCCTCCTTTCCACCCAAGAGGGGACAAACCCTCAGGCCTGGTCTAACTGCACAGATGACAACCCTGTGAAAGGCTCCTCCAAGCACAAAAGTATCTTTCCATCATGTACTTCCCTAGAAGAAGGATAGCGCCATCTTTTTAAGCTGTTTCTGTCTTTTTTTTAACCAAATATCAGACTGATCTCTTCACACCTGTAGTTTCTGAGGTTTATATATTGCATCCCATTAAAAAGAAGAGGCACAGGCAATACAGTTCAAACCAGACGACGTTATTTACAAAGGCATCAGTAACTTGACAAGCTTGCAGTCCTTTATCCAGGGCCTAGAACCCAGAAGGACGTTTCATCTCCTGCAGATTGCACGTTACAGACCTTGCACTATGGGGGTATCACCTTCTTTATGCAAGTGCAAACAAGGCTTGCAGGGCCAAGAGACGAACCAAGATATCCTATCTGCCCCACAGAGCTTGTAGGGACAAGGAAAAACTGTTTGGCAATCCAACAGCCACCACAGGCAATTGTTGCAGGATGAAGGATAAAAATGACAGCGGGGCTAAGGAGCAGTAACTCACTGGATGAGTTTTTGAGTCTTGGGGGCTTCACGGATTTCAGCTTTCTGAAAAATAAATCCTTCCCTCACTCATATTTACACCATTAAGAGTGTTTACAAAATTATACTCTTTGCTTTCGTTCCTTCCAAACCTGGAGAAAACCACCAGGTGCTTTTAAACCTCATTCCACAAGGCAGTCCTTCTACCCACCCCGCTCTTGCTGTTTTGGGCTCAGCTCCCTACAGCTTGCCAGGAGATTTTTGGTAGTGCAGTTCCCCAAACCAACCACAGATGTCACGTACTGTCACAGTTCCACTTTGTTTTGCTTTACAGCTCCAGTCGTATCATTTCTGCATCACATTGGTACTCTGTGCAGTCACAGCACAGGGCAAATTCATAAACTACTGACATCCACGTATGGTCACAGTTCCACCTTGTTTTGCTTTACAGCTCCAGTCATATCATTTCTGCATCACGCTGGTACTCTGTGCAGCCACAGCACAGGGCAAATTCATAAACTACTGAAGCAGAGACTGCCAGATTAGTTTTCAGTTCTACCAGCTCAGCTCCCCAACAAGCACGTGCTCTGGATCACTCTTCCTCACTTATTAATCAATATTTGTTCAACTCCTGTTAATTCTTCCAAAAGTCCAGCTTAGAAGGCAACCAGTGGGACTTTGTCTACAACAGCGTGCCCAGCTGCGTTTATGCACAAGATTTTTGCTGAAATCCCCTTGTAAAAGGCCTTTGCTGATCCTGTCACGACACCTGCAGGAGCCAGCCAGGGTCAGAGTCTGGAGCGCTGGGTGTACAAGGTCCACACCACTGATTGCTGCCAAACCCAGTGTAACTCACCAGAAGGAGACTTCCCAGGGACACATAAACTAGGTAAAGGGGGACTGTTTAGTTTGAGGAAGAGGAGGCTGAGGGGAGAGCTCGACACTCTCTACAACTATTTGAAATGCCACTCTAGAGAGGTTGGTGCTGGTCTCTTCTCACAGGTAATTAGTGACAGAACAAGAGGGAATGGCTTCAAGCTCCAACAGGGTAGGTTTAGACTGAACATTAGGAAGGAATTTTTCACAGAAAGAGTGGTCAGACCCTGGAATAGGCTGCCCAGGGAGGTGGTTGAGTCACCATCCTTGGATAAGTTTAAGAGTTGTTTAGATGTGGCGCTGGGGGATATGGTGTAGGGAAGAACTTTGTAGAGTAGGGTAGATGGTTTGACTCGATGACCCCAAGAGTCTTTTCCAACCTAGACGATTTTATGATTCTATGAAAGACTCAATGACCACGGTTTGGCAACATTTCCAAGCTACAGACCCAAAGCACATGGGGAAGCAACCAGCAGGACATCAACCAAAGGGTCCTTGGGCGGCAGCTCAGGCATGAAACCTGTACCACTGACTCGGTTAAGTCTGGTCACAAATTCACACGCTGTATTTCACATTAGCCTGCCCTGCTGCCCCTCTCCTCTGCTTTCCAGTCCCTACACTCCAGTTCTCTAACAGTACACATCTCACCTTTTATTCTAGCTGTCCTAAGCCACAGGATTAGGGCAAAACATGAATGCTTTACATTGCAGCCTGGTACTTGCTGTCGTCCCAATCTGCTTCTCTGATGCACACCCTACCAGAGCTCCTTGGGAAGCTGAATCCTTTTCTGGGTGGGCCTTTCCATCTGTTACGCCATGCTTCCTCATAGAATCATAGATTGGTTTAGGTTGGAAGGGACCTTAAAGGTCATCCAGTTGCAACACCTTGCCCCGGGCAGGGACACCTCCCACCAGCCCAGGTTGCTCCAAGCCCCATCCAGCCTGGCCTTGAGCCCCTCCAGGGATGGGGCAGCCACAGCTTCTCTGGGCAACCTGGGCCAGGCTCTCACCACCCTCAGAGTAAAGAATTTCTTCCTCAGACCTCATCTAAATCTACCCTCTTCCAGCTTTGAAACCATTTCTCTTTGTCCTGTCGCTACAGGCCCTTGTAAAGAGTCCCTCCCCATCTCTCCTGGAGCCCCTTCAGGGCCTGGAGGGGGCTCTAAGGTCTCCCTGGAGCCTCCTCCAGGCTGAACCCCCCCACCTCTCCCAGCCTGTCCTCACAGCAGAGATGCTCCAGCCCTCTGATCATCTTTATGGCCTCTCTGGACCTTCTCCAACGGGTCCATGTCCTTCTTATGATGGAGGCCCCAGAGCTGGACACAGGACTCCCAGTGGGGTCTCACCAGGGCAGAGCAGAGGGGGAGAACCACCTCCCCCAACCTGCTGACCACACTGCTTTGATGCAGCCCAAGATGCAGGGGGCTTTCAGGGCTGTGAGCGCACGTTGCTGGCTGACGTTGTGCCTGTCAGCCACCAACAGCTCCAAGCCCTTCTCCTCAGGGCTGCTCTCCATCATTTTCCTTTTGAAAAGCCGCTTTTCATGGAATCACAGAATCACAGAACATTATGGGGTTGGAAGGGACCTCTGGAGACCATCCAGTCCAACCCCCTGCCAAAGCAGGTCCACCCAGAGCAGGTCCCACAGGAACGTGTCCAGGTGGGATTTGAATGTCTCCAGAGAAGGAGACTCCACCACCTCCCTGGGCAGCCTCTGCCAGGGCTCTGCCACCCTCAAAGTGAAGAAGTTCCTCCTCTTGTTTAGGTGGAACTTCCTACGTTCAAGTTTGTGCCCGTTTCCTCATGTCCTGACCCTGGGCAGCACTGGAAAAAGCCTGGCCCCATCCTCCTGACACCCACCCTTGAAGTATTTATAGGTGTTGATCAGATCCCCCCTCAGCCTTCTCTTCTCCAGACTAAAGAGACCCAAGTCCCTCTCCTCACAAGGGAGACGCTCCAGGCCCCTCACCATGTTTGCAGCCCTACCCGGTAACTTCACAGAAGCACAAACAGGGCTCTCAGGGCCGGGTAAGCCCCCAGCCGGGGCTGCCAGGCCTCCTGCGGCTGCCCAGCGGCCGGGCCCCGCTACATCCCCTCATGGCGGACTCGCCTTCCCGACATGCCCCGCGGCCCCGCGCAGGCGCAGTGCGGGGTCAGCGGCGGCGGCGCAGGCCCCGCTCCCCCGGTGTCCC